TATACGGGCAGCTTCCAGATGCTGCTTCTGAACATCTGTATGCATTAACGAAGTCTTCCAGGTAGCCTGTCTCTGTCTGGGGCCCAAGGGGATATGCTGTGGCAGGTGGGGATTTTGTTAGATGAGGACAGGTGATGCCCTCTCCTATTGGCTGTTAGTTTCAACTTCCTCCATTACCAACTTTTCACCACAAATGTTAACCAGAAAGAAATCACTTTGTGACAGTTTTTCCCTTTTTCCACTTCTTCAGCTCACTTTCTGTTGGAGAGGCTTTTTCACAGTGAAATGACTAAAATTCAGGCAGCTGGGGAGTCTGGAAGCGAGAGCCATGCAGCAGTCACAAGCTGGCTGCATTTCTGGAAGAACTGGGGACCGACTAAGTGACTAGTTGAAGGACAGTACCAGTGTGCTTTGGAGTCGAGCATATCAGAAAGTCTGTGTTTCATTTCTTGTTCTCCTCCCTGGGGAGATGCAGACTCGGTTTGTTCTGTGCCGGGCACATCCTGGAGCTCCCCATCTCTGCCCCCTTCTCCCACCACTGGCCATCCCTGCAGCGTGAACGCAGTGCTGGCGTTGTCCACGGCAGACCTGGGCCTCTGCTGAGAGCGGGTGGGCTTCTGCACTTTACAAACGCATGAGGCGCGGGAGAAGACAAGGAGCTTAAGGAATACCATCTCGGCATCCTGAAAATTACATCGCAAGTGCAGTGTCTTCTGTCCTCAGAACATGAGCAGAGTTGAAGATGACCAACGTCACTGGAGATCTAATCTCATTAAACAAGCACATGCTATGTAGGACGTGCTCCAAGTTTGGTTTTTTCTCCTCCTCTTCCTGAAACATAGATGCCAATCTAGGTAGCTGCAAGATTAATATGCAGATGTCTGTGTAGCCATAGTGCCACCAGGAGCTTCGTATCTGTGCTGAAATAGAGGCTTCTCGTTACTCTGATCTCTTCATTTAGGCTTAGTAACAGAGATGAGCTTGCCCTCAAAAGCAGTGCGTGTGGGCAGTGGGGAATGTTTAGGATGGCAAATTGACCTCAGGGTTGCAGAAGTTTTAGAAAATTGGGGCATATCTTCTACAGGGAAGTAAAGACTAAATCATTTTCACTTGCTCTATTTCTCCGTTGAAAAAGTTCTCCTTTAGTTACCTGGGATCCCGCATCCTGAAATGGCTGCTCCTATACCCCCTTCAGCCCTCCTTCCTCTGTCTCTTCCTTTTGCTATGTTCATTGCAAGGAGGATCTGCGGTCTGTACTGTCGGTGAGCTGCCTGAATGTTAAGGGATCACAAGAGAGGCAGCGTAGCTTAGTGGGTAAGAGTGCAGACTGTGATGCCAACCTGCCTGTATTCAAATCTGGGCTCAGCTCATAGGCATGGGCAATCACTTCAGTTCTTTGTGCCTGCATCTCTTCATCCCTAAAATAGGGGTAATAATAATGATAGTAGGGCCCTTGTGAGGATTAAATGACGTTAAAGTACACAAGGTACTTTAGAACAGTGCCAGATACTTAGTAGCAATATATGCGCCAGTTGCTCCGTATTGAGCATGTACTATGTACTAAGGACTTGACCTTGAAATACCTTACTTAACCCTTGCAGCACACTTAGAAAGAAGGCATTTTTAAACCTTTTTCCAGTGATGAAACTGAGGCTAGAGAGGTTGTTGACCTGACCAGAAGGCATTTAACTATTAAATGGCCAGTATGGAATTCAGACTCAGATCTTTCTGTTGCCAAACCGTGTGCCAAACCACTGCACGCCCCCAGAATGAACGCTTACGAATGCAGAGCATTGCAGCCGCGCATGTGACCTGAGATTCATGCTCTCTGTTAACCTAATATTGTCTTTTTCTACGATCTCCTGTTGAGTTCATAGGTGTTCAGAATGGTTTGATCCCTATCCAGCTGAATTCCTGGGACCAGACGAAATCCAAGCCTCCTACTCCTCCGCCATCTTGCTCCTCCCCAATCCGTCTCTTTCTAGATAAGACTTGACTTAATGAAAGTGTCTTCATTGATTCTTTGCCCCGTAACATTGCTCGTCCTTTTGTGCCTTTTTAGTATTCAGCGTGACTCCCTCTCCCTCAGAAGAAACCTTTTCTACACAGGATAAAGCTGCATCCAGGGTAGAAAATTATTTGGAGTGTTGCTGCCCTCCGTGATTGTCTCCCTCTCAACTCAATTTCTTCTGAGTGGCTTGGTGATAATAGGGCTACTCTCCTCCCATCAGTGGAAATCTGTGCTGTTGCAGAGAACACGTGAGGATGCAGAGCTAGCCCACTTCCACTTTTTAGCAAAACCTAGGAGGCTCTTCCCAGCATGTAGCATGGCAGCCTCGGCCTGGTTCACCTGGAAACCTGAGGGTTGGTTTTAAATGTACCTGTGGTCTTTACCTGCTCTTAAACTGTTATCTAATCTGCATGTGTCGCTGCTGGTTTGAAGCATTGGCCACCAGCGTCACAATGTCCCACATGGACTGCTACTCTGGCCACCTGACTTGTCTTCTGCAAGGCCCCCCACCCCCAGCAGAGCTTCCTGGAGCTGGAATCTTATGCTTCCCGCTGCTGGTAGGACAAAGTCATGATCCCTGCACGCAGTGTGCCTGCCCAAGGCTTTGGCCTCATGTCCCTCCTCAGTGTGTCTTCTGCCAGCCCCGCAGACTGGTTGTGTGCTCAGGCTGTGCAGGGGACACGTCCCCAGCCTCTTGGAACCCGACCACCCTACCCCCTTTCAGGTCTCAGCTCAGCTTCTGCTTCTGCAGTTCTTGGGCTTCCCTGAACTCCCAGATTTCCAGTGCTTTCTATAGCCAGGGTCCAAGTAACATGCAGGCCCATTGCCTGACCTTTACCCCGTGCCCAGGGATCAGCTCTTGGTGTTTCCCTTGTGAACCGTCCACTCAGACACAAGGATAGCTCCACCCCCTTGTCTGGAAGCTCCAGAGCTAATGAGGTGGGAATCAAGAAACCTTACCCTCTGGATTTGACCCGCAATTCTCCACGGTCTCTATGTCCTTAAAAGTCCTTTGATCGTAAATAGTTTTCTTACTGGAAGAGTTGGAAATTAACCTCATCACCCAGAAGTCAGCGACTCTTCAAAATCAGAGTGACTTTTTCTTCATTCATTTTATACGAGAAAATTTTACACTTTCGGTCAACTCGTAAGGAAAAGTTGGTTCATTTATGCTGCTTTTTGAGTTAGACCGAGGTACAAATAAAAAATAGCTCACATTTATTGAACACTTCATGTTTGCCAGGCACTAGGAAAGCATATTCTATGGACCATCTTACTCATTGCTGACAGCTTCTCTATGAGCTGTGGATGCTGAGATCATCCCACTTTATAGACAAGAAACGGAGGCTCAGAGAAGCTAAGTCATATGTGTCAGGTCACACAGCCAAAGGTGGTAGAGCTGGAATTTGAACTCAGAGCTGCCCACCTATGAGCACATGCCATTAGCCACCATACTGCATTGCCTTGTCCTTTCGACTATTCTGTATCACTTCAGGTGATGAGCTGTGTGGCATAAAACAATGTTTCCCCATTTCCCATCACCTACTAGCCTATAACCGGTTCACTCTCTAAGCCTATTTAAATGGTTTTATGTTTAAGATATAACTAAAAAGCATGCCACACAAAGTTGCATTAAATCTAGCGTAACAGTCATATAAAATCATATTGTTAATTGTGCTTTACTTTTTTATAAATATATATCTCCCATTTTTATCTTAATATTTCCTTTTAAGATTTAATGGCAGTAACTGTAGCCTTGAGGCATGTTTAGAAAAGCAACACTAGTCATGGTGGTCCTCGGCTTGTATGCCTCTGGATCTTTTCCTTCCCCTGATCGGCAGTTTTGCAGGGGACCCCATCCCTGCAGGCTGCCTCTCCCTGGCTTCAGGGAAGGTTGGGCCAATCAAGAGGCCCTGGTGGGAGATGGGGGTGGGGCTTAAGGAAGACTACTCCTTTTCTGTCTCCTGATCTTCGTGGCTCTGGGCTGCGTTACTGCCCGCTATGGACCTTCCGCCACCTGTGTACCTGGTTCCCTCCATTAAATTTCCTACTTTGTAAATAAATTGGGCTTTCTGTTCTCCAGGTCCGACTTTACTGACAACTGCGGTATTCTCACATGTGATCACAATACTTACTTAGAGTTTACTTTGGAGGCATGGACGGTGGATGCTGCCATTGGGTTAAAATCCTCTGTTTTAAAACATCCAGAGCCTTTGTGTTCGGAGTTGCAGTGGTAGTAACAGAGCAAAACCCTGGCTGGGTGTCTGACATCCCTGATTCTAGTTCTAGCTGAGTCACTCAAGGAACTTAGAATCACTCAGTTTCATGGGAAATAAAGGGCTCCCCAGTTAGCTGGCTTAACTCCTTCCAAACCAAGACATTTCTAGGATGTGGTCTCAGTTTCCATGGGGACCAGTGAGTTGTATCCTTCAGTGCAATGGCCCCTTGACTCTGGCCTGCGTGCTGTGCTTCTGATGTGTGCTGTTGGTCCTGAGGGCTCAGGTGACAGAATGTGGGTGAGCCAGGGCAGATCTCTCGCCGCTCTGGGAAGAACCTCAAATAGGCCTTTCTGATTCTGAGTCGGGCAGTTGGTCTTCATTTGGGCGCAACACTGGCAGGACACAGAGTACAAGAGTAAAATTTACTGCTCAGCTGTCCTGACTGTGGGTTTAACGATGTTTCAAAGATGATGTTTCATATAGTCACCTTAAATATAAAACCAACCAGCAGAATATACAGATGGCACTCGTCTGATGTCATAGATTTTCTCTTTCTCCATTTTAAGCCACAATCTTCTTATATTCTCTAAACACCATTTAAAAAAAAAAACAAAAAACCTTATTCCGTATGTGTGTGTGTTTGTGTGTGTGTGTGTGTGTGTGTGTATATATATATATATATATATATATATATATATTTGGGGCCAGATGCTCTGGGTAATGTAAATAACTTTAATTTACTAAACTTTACCCCCCTCCCCCCACCCCAGCCCTTTCTTTTCAGAAGATACATTTAGACAATCACCATTCACCTCTAATTCAAAAGACCTGCTACCCAGTGAATCTGTGCTTCATGGAAGAATATCAACGCCAGGTATGGAAACATTATTTGACTTTGCTGCTACTGTTGGTTGCTTAAAATGACTTTTCTGAAATGTGCAAATGTTCAGATACTTTCAGCTTAGATGTGGATGTTTTTCATATGAAGCTAGGCTTTTAAAAAAGAGGAGAAACTCAATTTAAACAGCCACAAAAGTTTATTAAAATGAAGTGTGGTCAGTAATAAAGTGCTTCATTTTTTGCTTTAGGAGCTTATTGTTCTTTACCTGCTGATGTTTCATTCATATACCAAATTTCCTTTTCTTTGAAATAGCAAAGTATAACTTGAATATAATTTGCTTTACACGTTGTTAGTATTTCAGGCAGGCAGCCAGGAGGATATAGGAGGGCAGTGGCGAGAACTAATCGCCCGCAGGGAAGGTTGTGACCCTGGTGGGGTGTGGGTGGCCACAAAGACCACTTTGGTTTCCATGGAAGCAGCACAACTCATTAAGATAATCTTGCCACCCAGATTCCGCCTCTCTTCTTAATAAGAGTATCTGCATATATCCATCTAATGCTCCTTTTTGCAGTCTCAGCATCAATACATAATTAATTTATTATCCACTCTTCCTTTTTCATTTCTCCTTTCCAGAGTAGAGGGCAAGATGTGTTTGCTGTCCCCTTATCAACAGCATGGGCAACCCTCAGGGCTGTGTGTGTGTTCTCAGAGTTCTTAGGAGATGAGAACATTTGAGAACCACTGCACTGTATCCCATACTCCTCACCGGCGTCCCACCCCCACCCCAATACCAGTATAGCAGCCAGGAAGCTTCCTGCTGTTGTAATCTTAGTTCCAGCCATTGAGAGAATTTCAGAAGCTCTCCGTGGCCTCTCCGCCCATTCACTTGTCCAGGAGAGTGTGGGAGACCAGGGCTACAAGGGTTCAGGAGAAGCTCGTAGTAGGGCTCTTGGCCAGGAACCCCTGCAATAATAAAGTCCAAGTGTCCTCCACACACCCAAGGAGCCTGGTGTCACAGATGGCTGGGAGATCTGAGTATTTTGCAATTCGGAAAAAGCCAAGTAGCATTTTATGAAATATTGGCTTGGGGGTATCACAGGTCACTGGAAGTGGTTTGTGACAAACAGTGGGGGGAAAGGCAGCTCTTTGTCACCCTTTAGTCTTGTGATGACAGATCCATTTCTTCTCATCCCCAAAGAGTCCGGATACCTACACACTTTTTAGCTTTGCAGGACTTTTCTATTCAATCACCATAAATAACATGCTTACACAAAAACACATTACATAATATCTGGTTCTAGAGGTGGAAAGAAATTTTGCTTGGTCAATATCTTCATTCTCAAACAGGGACTATTTGAACTACTGTTTACTTCCCACAGTGTCATTTTGAATAGCCATCTCCCTGGTCCCAAAATTATCACCCTGCTCTTAAGTTGATGGATTGTGACTTTCTAATGTCAAAATAACTGCCTGGGAACTGCCTGTCAGAGTGCTGTGACCCATACAGCCAGCGTCGCATGGTGTATATACAAACCCTGCATTGCTGGCTTAATGTTTGGCTTGGCTATATCTTAAGAAGGGTTTATTGGTCAAGTTACAACCTGATATCACAAAGAGTGATATCAGTGTATGTTTAACTGCGTATAGAGGGGGTTTCTGTGGTTTGCCTGACAGACGCATTACAAATTAGATAAACTCACACTTAAAAAGTTAACTTTTATTTTGGGTGGGAAGTCAGCATAACTGGGATTTTTAAAATGTAAATCTACCGTTCTGAGAGATAATCATTCTATACTCCAAAGAGCCTTTAGGCAGAGGACAAGCAAAATGACTATATTTACATTTTGCTAAAATAGACAACTAAAAAGGGACTTTTTTTTTTTTAAATAAACAAGGTGAGGGGCACCTGAGTGGCTCAGTCGTTAGGCGTCTGCCTTTGGCTCAGGTCATGAGCTCAGGGTCCTGAGTTCGAGCCCCGCATTGGGTTCCCTGCTCGGCAGGAAGCCTGCTTCTCCCTCTCCCACTCCCCCTGCTTGTGTTCCTGCTCTCTCTGTGTCTCTTTCTGTCAAATAAATAAAATCTTTAAAAAAAAAAAAGTGAAAATGCTTTAGAAATGGAATCAAAATTAGAAAAATTAAAAATGACAAGGACAACTTTGTAATCACAAAGTTCTCATAATCTGAACACATGTTTTGTAAGGAAAGCCTCAATAATTTGGACGAATTGTGGAGAAGACCAATCTGAATTAACAAAAGACTGCAATACGGAGACTTTACAAGAAAACATCTCTTTCAAGTCTGGATAGCAATAGTGGCCCTTGTATTCCTACTGCGGCTCCCCAGTCCCTTACCCACAACTCTGAAATCCGAAAAGCTCTTCCAACCACAATTTTTTAAATAAGTTACTTGGTGGCAAAACTTAATGGGAGGCTATTTATAGTCCATATGTACCGCCAAGTGAAATTCATCCATTTCGTTACAGAAATATCAACATGTTTGATTATGAAGGCCCACTAGAGTGTTATGTAAAATATGTCTTAGGCACCATATTAGCATTCTGAAATAAGAAAAAGTATGAATCCCCAAACACATCCCAGAGCCCAGGGGTCTCAGATAGAGACTGTGGACCTACAGGTATTCCAGGACTCTGCTAAATGCCGTGCTGGAAGCAAAGAAATTAAAGCTACAGTTGAGGATCTTAAGGTTCAAAGGCATAAGAGTCAAGGAATCTTACAGAAAAATTTCAGAAGACTTGGTGGGCAGCAGATTGCTAAATCATTGGAGATGTGGCAAGCAAGAAGAGTCCAATGGGGATGTACTCATGCTGAGGCGGGGTTATTAATAAGGGCCTGGGTTAAAGAGAAAAGGAAGAGGTGGGTAGGAGAGGCAGACAAAGGGCTAGTTCACTGGTTTGGGAGACTGGTGAGCTTTGCGAAAAGCAGGTTGAATTAGGGAGGAATAGTGTTTGTGCAGAAACGGGGAAGCCAGGGAGGAGACAGGTAGTGACTAGGCAGAAAATAATGTGTGGTTAGTGTGTAAATAAAAGCCTCAGAGTCCTTAGAAATCTTCTCTTCAGTAGTTTGAACATTACCATTAAAATATTATTTCTGTTCTTTATTCACTTAGCAAACTTCTTCTTTCGAGAGATAATGCAAAGATAAATATCAGCCCAAAGAATTGTCTCAGATTCCCAATTAGGAGAGACCCTAATTAATGAGGTTTAACAAGCCTGGTTCCAATCTAAGAAGTCCCTTGCAAATGCTGAAGACCCATAGCATTAATTGAGCAGTATATATTGGCATGTGTTTATATACCTTCTCTCAATGGGATGAAACACTCTTCTAAACACCTGTGGAGTCGGACCGTGGGGCAGAGGAGGTGCACCATATGAGGGCACCCAAACAGCTCCAGACCAAAGGGATCCAACCCACACATTGTGAATGTGTCTCAGGCCTGTGGAGAAGGAAGCAAGCAATATGGGGGATAGCAAAGTGGGGAGAGGTGGGTAGGGACTGTGGACTGTGAAGAAATCGAGAATAGCACAGTTAACTAGGCATTTGCCTTCGGCAGATGGTATCTGAGACACACAGCTGCCACCATCCCAGAGAAACAGAATAAACACAGAGCTTCACGGTGTCCTGGCCTTCGTTGCTGCCACTATTTCTAGACTGACTTTCCTGAGAACCAAAGAATGTTCACGTGCCAAGACCTAACATTTTTACTTGCTGTGACTGTCTTAGACAGAGGTAACACCAGGAATTCTTAATAAAATGATGAGTTCAAACCTGCTGTCCCCTTCTGCTGGAGGGATGGGGGGGCCAAATATCCTGGAAGCCATGAATAGATGATGGAGTGTACCCTGGGTGGTGGTGGTGCTGATGGTGATTTCCCAAAAGAAATAAAAGTGCTTTCCCATTATGGGGGAGATAGAAATTACCGGCCATGTAGAATCTAAGCTACTTTGTCTAATTTGTAGTGGTCTCACTTTGTAGAAGATTTACATTCATAGAGAAAAAGTGTGGGGTCAGGTGTTTCTCAGGGCACCGCGGGCTGCTCTGTATGCAGAGTGGATGTGGGACCGTCCCACGTGCAGCCACTCCCTATTGGCCTGGCATCCTTCCGGAAGCAGAGACTCTCAAGAGGAGAAACTTCTATCTCAGTACCCCCTTCAGACAATGTGGAGCTTCCATCCTGTTTGATGATGATTTTGAAGGCACAGTATGTTTTCTCTGTGTTAAGCCAGAAAACAAAAACACAACCAGAGCAGGTACGAAGGGAAATGTGAGTCTCTGTGGAATTCTCTCTCACAGTTTGGAGGTACACATGCTTCTGTTTGATATTTCAGAGGGAGCTCAGAGCTAGACAATGCAAAACGTACCAACAATTACATTTGTTCACCCCCACCCTCATTATTTGCCAGAGCTCCTGAAAAAGGTCGTCCTTGTGGTTTAGAACACGGAAACAAGACGTAAAGAACTTGGGGAAAGTCAAGTCCCTTCCAGAACATGCTCTGCCCATCAGGATCTGCTGTTAGGTTAAAAAGACTGGTTTGGAGCTGCTGGCCTTGTCACCAGGCCAATTCTTGATTTATTTTCCTCCCTCTGTTCTGCCCATCAATCTAATACAAAGGGTATCATCTCATATACTTGGCTGAGATCTAGATGAAGCATGCCTTGCATTGACTGCCCCCCTCGACACCACCCCCCCACCCCACAGCTGACTGTCAGCCAGCCCAACTCCTGGCCAGTTAGGGATAACCTCTTGGCTGAGATCTAGATGAAGCATGCCTTGCATTGACTGCACCCCTCGACAACCCCCCCGCCCCACCTCACAGCTGACTGTCAGCCAGCCCAACTCCTGGCCAGTTAGGGATGACCTCTTTCAGACTGCTGGCTTAGAAGATGTGCAGGTCACCTTCCTTTATGTTAACCCTTACCAGCTCAGAGAGAGAGAGATAGACAGACAGACAGACGGAGCTGTCCTGGATTATAGCAAAGTGTTTTCTTTAATCCTTCTTCAAACACAGCAGACTCG